AACTAAGTGGAGTTTGACAAGCCAACCATTTTTCTAGCTACGTACACAAATTCCTTTCTTTCTCCGCTGATAGTTGAACTCCAACTCGCAAAATGTTCTAAATTCTAGGTAGCTCTCTAAAAAGTCCTCAAATTATGAATGGGAAAAATATAATTTTTTGCCTTGATTGCAAAAATTTACAATCAAGGCGTTGTCATTGCTATTTAGACAACGTCTCACTCATTTCTCCATATGCTCCCTAGTTAGTCAACGCAGATGACGGTGACACAATACAACCTCCTTTCATCAACGCGCACTGCGTACTGAGTCGACAGGAGCTAGGAATGGCAAATTCGAAGCCTCTGATTGGTCAGTTAGTTGGATGGTTTCGATATTACCTTTTCAGATGAGTCTTGCGTAAGACAGTTTTGTTAATGCCGAATTTTGACTGACTTAGGCAATACGTAACTTTTTGAACGTAAGTATGAAAAGTTACGTGTACTTAGCGAAGTTTCGTTAATCTCTGCCCGCTATTGGTATTAATACAGGGTAGGGCAGAACCGATTGAGCAGTTTTTTGAGGCGAAATAAAAGAGTAATGGAGGTACATAAGGAAGAAAACTTATTTTCCTCGCGGTTAGCATAGCGAACCATTTAGAATACTTATGTTTTAAAAATAATGTCAGGAAGATGGCGGCCGTTAGCTGCAACACACTGTTGGAGTCGTTCTCGGTGTCTCTGAGGGGTGATTTACAGTGGCCTGCAGGTCACCTGATTTGTGCATTTGCGATTTATTTCTTTGGGGACATCTAAAAGAAAGAGTGTTCAGAAGTCGCCCTCACACCCTACCACAGCTAAGGGAACGGATTATTGCAGAGGCTAATTATGGCCATACCTCGCCATATGTGTGAACGTGCTGTAGGAAACTTCCGAGAATGACTCCAACAGTGTGTTGCAGCTAACGGCCACCATCTTCGTGATATTATTTTCAAAACATAAGTATTCTAAATGGTATGTTTTGCTAACCTCGAAGAAAAACTTTCTTATTTATGTACCTCCATTACTCTTTTATTTCGCCTCAAAACTGTTCGATCGGTTCTGCCCCACCCTGTACTAGAAAATTTCATTATTTATCAAAGGGTTGGCTGAAATGCAGGAAATGCAGCCAGATGATTGGAAAACAGTCAATGCCGCTGAGTATTTGAAATCTATCTGATGTGTTTATCTCTAAATGAAATCGTCTGTTATTTTTTGCCTACCATCTGATAATTTAACAGGACCTGAATGCATACAGTTTGTATGAAGTATTTTGCCAAGAGGCAATCTTCTCAACAGATAGTTTAAACATGATTTTTTCTTAGTGTTATGTTAGCAGCACCTCGACATGGCAACCGCAATGATAGAGTGCGAAATTTGCAACGAAGAATTCGACTCTGGCAACCACAAGCCACTTTGTCTGACCTGCGGCCACACATTTTGCTTCTCTTGCATTTTGGAACTAACAACTTCATCCGATATTTGCATCTGCCCTAAATGCAAGAAAGAAACTGCCCAAGATATCGATAAAATATTGGTTAACTACGCATTAATGCCATCTGAAAACAAACCTTATCAACGCTTACCACGTTCACCGTCAGAAACGCGATGTCTTCAGCACCACAAGACGCTGGATTATCTGTGCGTGGACTGCATCAAATTAACATGCTTCAAGTGCACCAGGGACACGCACGGCACGCACAAAGTTGAGGCGATCGACGACCTGGTCAGTGGAGATGAAAGTGCTATGAACTCTACGAGGAAAATACAGACCACGATGCAGAATAAGATTTTCGGCTTGAAAAATTTAGCCACGGCACTTAATGACTTTTCGGGTTGGATTGATGACGCAATCAACGTGAAGAATGATTTGGATGAATGGAAAGAAGCGCTGCAGGTCCAAATAATTTCTGCCGACAAAGATTTTCAGGCCTGGAAGGATTTGGTCTCCAATGTCGACGAGGAAGAGAGACTTGAATGCATGGAAATTTTACGTCGCCTTAAATTAGAGCCTGAAGTATATTCAAAATTGCCCGAAATCACGGAGAAACTGGGAGCAGTTGTTGAGAACTACCGTTCGTTAAAGGTGAGTGAAATTAATTGAGTGTTCGGAAGCATTTCCATGAACTATAAATAGCACTAGTTACGGGAAAACTTCTCGGAGTTCAGCGAATAGGTTTTGTATTTAAGGGCTATAGAATGCTTTGCAGGAGAGCTTAAAAATTTCTTGCGTTTGGTGTGGATAAAATTAACTGTAAGTAGATTATATATTCTGGCGCATTATTAAATGAATACATCAAAATGAAAATACCTAACAATTTCGATATTATGCTCAAGGAATGAGCTGAAACCACTAACTTACCTGCAGATGCCATCAAATCCGCATAACCTCTTGCCGCATGGACAACATTGGACAGTAACTAACAGTGATGAAGGCGGGCGAGCTGTACGTAGTCTGTTAAACAACAGGAAGCCCAGCCGCCTCGTAGTGATATCCCTCCACACGGACCCCATCCCGAGCCTCAGTGAGCTACTGGCGCTAATTGTTTCCAACGACACCGGCGACCTGAGCTTGGTTAACTTGGACACCTTCTGGTGGCCCCCAAAGTCTGATTTTTATTGTAGTGTAGACTTCATCAAAGAGTTTGGGTGGGTTTGGGTTGGTGATGTTAATGTTAGATAGTTAATTATATATTATATTAAAGCAACGTTATTTATCATTTTAAGACAAATTTTTCTTGCTATCAATTTAAAGACGCCTTTCACTTCGACTTATAAATTCCCCTTTAGTGTTTTTTTTTTATTAACGAACCCTTCGCTTACAAAAATAGTAAATTTAAAAACTTTTCAAATTTTTTTAATAACTAAATTTATGAACCTGTTTATTAACAAGTCTCAAATTGAGCAGAAACCGCTTATGTTTGGTGAGAGGCTGTTCCTATGAATGTTTGAAGTAACTATGTTCAGCGACCATAGCACTTTTATTAACGACGTGCTGTCAATTTATTCACTGATATTACATAATCAATTAATAAATACTGGCAATTCATTATATTTTCACCTCACTGCCCGCGCTGAGGTAGACGCTGGCTCAGCGCCGTGTACGGCACCCCATACGACCTCGTCTCCTACATGAGAGAGCGACAGCGCGAGCCCCGCATGTTCGGCCTCCGCTTCGAAGATGAGGGTGCCGTTGACTACTGTATAAAAATGGAACTACCTGCATGTGGTTAGTACGTATAGAGTTTATTTTCTACATTGTCCTAAATGGCAGGGTGTACTTTTCTAAGTGCTTCATCACGTCAACTTGAAATGTTGATTTGTTTACTAAGTTTACTCAACTTAGGAGTTGAGTTCTGGCAGTGATCGAGGACGGTCGTACGTGTTTGCGGGTCCCATTTTCTCACATTTTACTATGCCGGTTTGACTTATCGCTCGAATTTGTACCTAAACGATTTCAGTGAAAGGTCACAATTTTAGTGCAGTTCAGTAAAAATTGTGCGAATAATGAGAAAAACGGATAGTACAAATGTTTTATTCCCGACAAATGCCAGTGCATGAAGCGAGGGAAAGTTGGTGGCTTGTTGCGAACCCTAGGCGATCGTCAGTCAACCAGAGAACAACGGTGCCTTGAGACGCTTAGGCCTCGTTTTCCTATACCCTCCCCACCCTCTTGGCCCCTACACCTCCCAATCTCCACCCGCCTTACGAGTCGATCCCTTGATTCCCCCAGCACACCTCTGTCTTTCCCTTGCCAGCTGTTCCTCCAGCCGAAATTTCCGAGGGAACTTTACTATACTCAACTCAACTCAGTTTTGTATTTTTCTCGTCCTTTCTCCGTTCAAGAGATCTAGTTCGTGCATTTTATAATGGCTGGACAGAAAATAAAAAAGATAGTCGAAAAGTCCTCCACGGCCTCTGAGAAAAAAATGAAACCAAATCAGCCGAGCTAGAGACGAAAGTTTGCAAGTACTGCAGGGTGATCTCTCTAAACGAAGTCCAGACGGTCACCTGTGAACGATGCGAAGACCTCATTTGTATCAGCTGTACGAAGTAGAGCTCTAGGGAGTACTCATTTCTCCAGAAATCTAAATTGCTTCATTGGTTTTGCCGTGATTGCGAAAAAACAACTATTGGCGCTCGAAAAAAAGAGGAGTCTGTGGAAGAGCCCGACAATGAGTCGAAATTGTGGAATGATGTAGTAAACTCCTTGAGTGAGATGGTGCGCTCGCTGAGTGACAAACTCAGCTCGCTATGCAATGAGCTGACTGAAGTGAAGGCTCAGCTGAAAAATTCGGAAGAAATGGAAGTAAATAACAAGATAACAAGAACAAGAACGTAGGAAGGCCAACCTGGTTTGATTTGGGATTCCTGAAAGTAACGCATCTGATGCCAATGACCGAGTGATGGATGACACGGCATTTGTTGTAGACTGTTGCAGCAAGGTACTCAACACACCGATTGATGTTACAGCGTGCAAGAGGCTACGCTGGAAGGATGCTGCCAACACCTGCAGACCTCTGCCGGTGACTGTAAAGGATTCTGCTCAGGTCTAGAGCGTGCTGAAAACAGCGAGAAAGCTTGGAGATCCGCTGATTACAAGTCAGTTTTTGTAAAGAAAGATTCCACCCCTTTAGAGAGGGCGGTTTTTCGCAAGAAGTGGCAGGAGAGAATCAGACGGAAAGGCACGGAAAATCAGGTCAATCACTTCCAAGCTGTCAAGACAACACCGGCTGCTCACGGACAGTCAGACGAGATGGAGGACAAGTAATTAGTAGGAATGATGTCCTTAGATCAAGGCCTGTAAATAATGTAGGAAGTAACCGCATACATCAAAGTGAAACTGCACAAAAAGTTTTAAAATGTTTTTACACGAACTCGGATTCCGTTTTGAACAAAAAAGTGAACTGTTAACTGTGATCGCAAACGAGTGTATAGACATTATTTGTATTACAG